TACCCTTGCTCCAAATCATTGTGGCAAATTTAGGCAAATTTTGCGACCCAGGAGCTGTATCTTTATTTGAAGCATACTGTACCATCCTCAATTTATGAACACTGCTCAGTAATTTCCATATTGTTTCTCATTAAAAATAACACAATCCATAATTGTGATTGTTAGTGGTTTTTTTTGTATATCACATAAAGAAATGTTGATTACCAAGCAGTTGTTCATTAGGATAATGACAATAGCTTGTGGGCTAGAGTCTCCATTTCCAGACTTACATTAAGGATGTCCTCAGCAGGAGCATTCTAAAATGCAATCCTTTGCCTGGAACCATGTGCTCCCAAATAAAAGTAATAATCATGTCATTTCCAAATTAGAGCCTGGGAGTGTCCCCCAGTAGAATGTCGAAACTCTTTAATATGTCCATGTTGTATCCCCTGCTCATTTCCGCAGTATGATCTTCAAATTTCAGCATAGATGCAAGGTTCTCTGACCCTCCCCCGCAATGTTTAAGTATTAAGTATTTTAGGTAGTTATAACTTTTATTATGTAATTTATGTATTCTCTACTTCCTCAATACTTTTTAAGTTTGCAATTCTGCTTGATCTTCTACACCACTGGAATGTGAACAGTGGTGACAGAGACTAACTTTATTCATAATTGTACCACCAGGGCATAGGATTGCTTGGCATGCTGTAAGTACAAATGAAATAATGTTAAATGGATACATCTAAGATACTGAGATATTTTACAATTTAATATTTTGTATATACATGCTGATTTTATGTGAATTTTAAAAATATATTTGGAATATTAACTTTAAAAGGAAAATTAGAAAATACATACTGAGATAAAAATCTAGGAATGCGTATTTTCAACTGAACATAGATTTCTACAAGTTAATGGCAAAACAATTACGATATATATGACATTTAAATATATATGACGTAATTTTGTGAAAAGTCCTTTTAGAAAACTTAAGAGTATCCCCAGTTCTATCCAGGTCTAAAATATTATACTATAATGACCTTTTCAACATTTTTCTTCTAATGTTTTGCTAAACAGAAAAAGACAACAAACTTAACTACAATCTAGACTTTCTTTTGGTTCTAATTCTATTAGTGTATTATTTTGCACTTTGCCTGTTTGAACAGATGTTCAACAACTTTTTTGAGTTTTGTAGATTTATTTTGTCAAAACAGGTGTAATTTAAAATCATTTACTCATTAGAGTAATATAAAACATGATGGTCTCATACCTATGTTTGTGTAATAATTTCTTGGTAATGGGAAACAATTTGCATCTTTAGCCTAATATAAGGTATACCTACCTAGAATAACTACATAAGCAACTCAGGTAAGATTTTAAGAAAATCTTTCCAGATATTCATTTATTACAACTTCAACTTTTTGTTTAACATTTTTCTATTGAGAAGCATTTTTTTATAGTTTTTTAAGTGCATTTCAAGGAATTGATGACATATATAAATTAATGCTCAGTATCTGTATATTGATTTAGAGTTCATGATTCAATTTATAGTTTATACTCTTGTTCAACAATTTATTGATTGACTAATCCTGGAAGTAGGTTTCATTGTGACTTGCCATGAAGATAAGGAAACAGACACAAATGTATTGCTTGCTCCAAATCATTGTGTACAAGTGTTGCATCTTAAACTAGCTGTCCATTAATTGCATGTTTAATGAGAATCATCTCTTTGGTTTGAGGAACGTGAGTACTGGGCTTATTTTTGACTCGGGATAATTAATCTGGAATGTTATTTTAGTAAACTGGCCCACGCGTGACTTTTTCTTAAAAGAAGACATAGTGCATAATGACTAATAGCAAATGATTCTCTTTATTCTCCTGATTATCTTCAAAGTCAAATAGTGATTATAGTCTCATAAAATAACTAAATTGGAACTTTTGAAACTTCCAATAATTGGCCATCTTTAACCTCCAAAATATTAATTTCATATATTTATACCTAATTATGATACCTTTGCCTTCACTAATTTTTCATGATATTCTTTGCTTAAGATCATACTTTTTTCATCAATTCATATTTTTATTCAAGTATTAGCTCATTGGCTGCACTCTACCCTAGAATATCTTCCCTTTCTCCCATATCAAAACACATCATTTTCTTCTATTTTTAACTATTATTTTTGGTTCTTATCCTATAAAATTATATTGCTTATTTCTCTGTCACTATCTTTTATGAGACATATTTTTACTTGCTTTTGGGATTCCATGTTTTTTATGGTATCATTTTGTATGCAAATCTGGTAGGACAAGAACAAGTCTAGGGTATGAACAGTATGTCCTAGAGTGCTACACTTACTACTCATATTTCATTTTGACTATGACATCAGCTTACATTCTAATTTTGGCCCAGCCAATTTACTTACCTAAGACATTTAGCTTATATGAAACTTAATATAAACCTTTATACCATAGGAACAATAATACAATTTATTCCAAAGGACCATTGTGAAGATTATCTAAGATAATGTATAGAACAGATCCTGGCCCATAGGTAACTTCTTATAATTTTAGTTACTTTTCGATTCTTGGGGCTTACACAATATATTTCCATTGTAGCTTTCGATGCACTGTAAATAGATGATTGAATGTATTGTGTCAGAAATAAATTGGCCAAAATTCTACCTGGAGAGCAAAAAGAATATTAAAAATCTGTACTTTTGGCGAGGCACTGTGGCTCATTCCTGTAATCCCAGCACTTTGGGAGGCTGAGTCAGGTGGATCACGAGGTCAGGAGATCGAGACTAACATAGTTAAACACTGTCTTTACTAAAAATACAAAAAAAAAAAAAAAAAAATTAGGCGTGCATGGTGGCAGGCACCTGTAGTCCCAGCTACTCGGGAGGCTGAGTTAGGAGAATGGCATAAACCCGGGAGGCGGAGCTTGCAATGAGCCAAGATCGTGCCACTGCACTACAGCCTGGGTGACAGAGTGAGACTCCGTCTCAAAAAAAAAAAAAAAAAAAAAAAAATCTGAGCTTTCTTTCAGAATTTACCGTAATTTGGAGTTATTTTCCTTTTCTCTTTTCCCGGTCTCTCAAGCCATGGCTGTTCTTGGTATATACTTTTACCTTTTGATTTATGTTTACTCCTTTCATAAATGTATAAGGTTAGCGAAAGGTCCCAGATAATAATTTTAGCCAATGCAACAGATAGAAGTTTTTCTCAGAATTTTATTTTAAAATGAAAATGAAAATCTTTTCATTGTTATATTTAAAGGAAAAATAAATATCCTCCGTCAAGACTTATGAGCACATTAATGTGGTCCCTTTGTTAGAGATATGTGTAAGACTTGTTCATTTGAAAGGGGGCAGACTGTTGAAATCCTGCTCAGTTTCCTGTACCTATGTATAAGATATTTTGATTTATTGAAAGTCTTTTGAAATATATACAGTGTATCTCCAGTCTTCTTAAGTCTTCATTCCCCAAAGGGAGACATTTGCAACATTTAGTCAGATGCTGATGTTTAATACAGAACATCAGGTAGAAAAATAAAATATTCCTTAACTGAACACTGTAACCACATATGCCAGCAAGATAAACATGAATTATATACTTTGTTATCAATATTACTTCAGTAAATATGCATATAAAGATATTCATATGCCTATTATTAACAATATCCAGTACACCATGGTATGCAAAAACTCAACAAGAGATTATTTTCATGAGTAACACATAATAGACATAGGAACACATAATAGTTTGTTGTGTGATAAACTCTCTGACAAGCCAAGACTGATAATCCTGAAAATGAATCCTGAAGGTTAAGTATTGGTATTTTTATTTTTCAAGGTTAAAAACTTGTAAATGGCAAAGCCAGGATTCAGAATATTGGGTTTCCAAGCCTCTGCCCTCTACCCAGCCTGTACAAAATCCTATGATATTCTAACATGAAGTATTTACCTTAACACAAATCAATATCCACATGTATAATTATAAGCATGGATTGAATAAAATGTGTTTTGCTACATTACTTAACACTAAATGATTATTATTTATTAGTAATGTGTTATGAGTTAAACAAAAATCAATGTGGAGAAGTAATATACAGATTGTACTGGTTTCCTAATGTTCTTTATGCCTGTGAAGACATATCTGTTTTTTTGAAGTATAACATAAATCTGGATTTGTCATCTTGCATCTAAGGCTATTTTTGTTTGACATATTGTTAAAAGCACTTTAATTCTAGAAAATTCAAAACAATAACTTCTATAATGAATTTACTTTAATTTCCACAATTAATCACAATCTCACTATGTGATCTTGACAGCATATCTTTTTCGACAATAATGAACTACTTGACTGACACATTCATGTCTTGAAAGAAGAAAATTAATTGAGAATGGAATTGTTCATATCTGCATTACTTCACTGTTTTATGATCTGAGATATAGAAATGAACTTATTTGATGTAAAACACTTTCCTATAATCATTATGGGTCAAAGGAAATCATGTACATTGCCCCTACATTTTAAATGCTTTATTTCCTCAATCAATTAAAAATCTCATTACTTTAGCAAATAGTTTAGTAAGCCAGTAACTCTACCACAGTTTTGCTCTCAGTACAAACAGGAAATAGACAACTTTAGCAAATCATAATGTCTGACATTCAGATAAAGAAAAAATTAAGAAGGAAGAAAGAGTGAAATGTAGGCAGGGAGGGCGTAATACAAAAGAAATGCTTTGGAGACTTCTAACAAACTTAGAGTTTGGAATCCACCTGATCCATCAACAAGAATTTGTTTATTATGTAATATTACAACACCCTTTGAAAAAAGGCAGTGAACATATTTTTAACTTGAGAAAAATACTTTACTATTCTCCACTGATTTGACAGCTATTTTCTGCAATGTCCCTATTGATTGCAATAAAGCAATGTGAATAAAAGCTAATAATAATAACAGCAGTGATCTTCTTCCTGAATCCAAACAACAAAAATCTATCCCCCTTTTTTTTTCAGGTAATTCAGACTATCAGTGCAGTGGATAGAGATGAATCCCTAGAAGAGCACCATTTTTACTTTAATCTATCTGTAGAAGACACTAACTATTCAAGTTTTACAATCATAAACAATCAAGGTAATGTCATTCACTTATAATGAGTTTTGATACCTTTTTTTGACTCATGTTAGACTTTAATGGAATTTATGGCATTGATTTTTATACTGTTGTTGCAACATAATAATGTTTGGAAATCAAGCAAGAGAGTAACAATGAAAATGGAAAACAAAACTCAGTGTTAAGTTCTAAAAATATTGGCTCCATTTCTCACCGCATTTCTTCAAAGTAGAAACACTTTGTAAAGTTATCAATGGCTGTAAGCTCTTGTAAAGTCTGAATAACCCTGCGAATATAATTGCAGTTCTGATACCACGGCTCCTTTCATGTTCTCGTCTAACTCAGACTTCAATCTATGACTGAGGAAGAAACCGACATTTATTTGAGTTACAGTCATGTTTGCTTGATTGATTCCAAAATATTTATGGTCATCAATTAGGAGCTCAGAATATATGAAATTGGGTTAATACAGTTCTTATTCCTTCAAAACTAAATAACTTTTATCAATCTAAGGATTAAATGTTCAAAGAATTTTATGTAGGGGCAGAATTTATTTTCCCTTTCGGTAGAGGCGGATTAACTATATGCAGAGCTGCGCTGCTTCTTTTTCATGAGCTTCAGTGAGAGATATTTTTGTCATTATAAGGACTACTATTTTAATTTTTTTATACATCAAAGTTATGAAACACAGTTGATTTATTACTCAAATATCTGTAACCAAATACCTGCAGTTCTCCTTACAGCTGAGGTTAAGCTTTGTTCCAGAAGAGACCTGTCACAGGAGAGTAAATGCAACACATTTCTGTCTGTTTTGCCCTCGTCCCATTCCCCCGGGGAGGAAACTCAAATACATTTTAGACAAAAACCACAAATATCTCTTTCAAGCTCTTTGAGAAATCTCCAAACTACTTTCCACAAAATTTAGCCCTGTGATGAACTCTTAGATTCAGGGGATACATGTATTATTATTATTATTTTTTTTGATGTTGCGAACTTCCACCTTTTTTAAAAATATTTTTATTATTTTACTTTTAAGTTAAAAATTGTATTTTTAAATACATATATATTAATATAAATGAGTCTAAGCTGGAGTTTTTAAATATATATATTTAAATACATAGATATTTATATATATAGATTCATTTATATTAATATAAAATAAATTACTGAGGTGAAATAAATATATTGAAGCATATGAAATTGATTTTATTTAATGTTTGTTGTCACAAGTAATTTAATAAAATACATATTTAAAAAGTGTCAGCTGTCTCTTAACTCTTAGATCTGCCTAGCAAATAAAATCACATGGACTTTATAGACTAAGGGTTTCATAATGAATTGTCTTTAAAAAGGTAAGATTTGGGAAATGTCCTGCTTAAGCATGCATTTCAAAAGGCTTTTATTTATTTTCCTTTTACTGCTATTGTCTTCTAAAATTTGTCTGATGACTACAGAAAATATTTTGAGGGATGGTAAAAAAGAAGGAAAGGGAAAATACAGTTCTGAGGTACAAGAAATTACAACGACAAAAGTTATTTATAATATTTTGGAATTCACAGAAGAGTAATTATATATATTTGAAGTGCTTATTGTTTGTTTTCATGAATTTTTTGAATGGACTCTCTAGGTACATGAATCAGTCTGACTAAGTATAATGATTTTCAGAATTTTAAATACAAATCGATTAATAACGTCAATGTGATATGAAATATCCTAATAGGATCTTGTCTACCAAGTGAAATTATTTTGTCTATTTAGAAAATATAGTATTTGAGATCATGTGCTTTGACAGATAACTTTGAAAGTCTTGTATATTCCCTGAATTTGTACAAATAATGGGTCCCAAGTATTAGAAAATAGACCGTGTTATATGTAATTAACACAAATAAAGCCAGCTCTATCAGCATATATTTCATATTAGTAGTCCCTATAAACTATTGATATCTGATTAAAAAACTATTTTCTGTGTTACACATATGTTTTATATATATGTCAAAGAGATTTTGGAACTGGTTTAAGCAATTCAATAGTAACATAAATACTTTAAATAATCAACTAAATAATTAAGTAGTATCAACTCAATATTTAATAATATTAAATATTAATTTTACTACATAATTTAAATAATTCATCTGATTACATAATTAGGGTTTAGGTGATGTCCAAACACTAATAATTTAGTGTGGATGTTTTAATTGTCTTCTCATCAGAAATTTCCTCTTCCTTTTATTTGAACTTACTTGATTGTATCTCTATACTATTGTCCCCAGTACATGTGACTATTACATACAAATTTCTATTATGTAGTTGAAAAAATTATGCACATGGATTTTTGTTTTAGATAACACAGCTGTCATTTTGACTAATAGAACTGGTTTTAACCTTCAAGAAGAGCCCATCTTCTACATCTCCATCTTAATTGCCGACAATGGAATCCCGTCACTTACAAGTACAAACACCCTTACCATCCATGTCTGTGACTGCGATGACAGTGGGAGCACACAGACCTGCCAGTACCAGCAGCTTATGCTTTCCATGGGATTCAAGACAGAAGTCATCATTGCTATATTAGGGTTTAGGTGATGTCCAAACACTAATAATTTAGTGTGGATGTTTTAATTGTCTTCATCAGAAATTTCCTTCCTTTATTGAACTTACTTGATTGTATCTCTATACTATTGTCCCCAGTACATGTGACTATTACATACAAATTTCTATTATGTAGTTGAAAAAATTATGCACATGGATTTTTGTTTTAGATAACACAGCTGTCATTTTGACTCAATAGAACTGGTTTTAACCTTCAAGAAGTTTCCATCTTCTACATCTCCATCTTAATTGCTTGACAATGAATCCCGTCACTACAAGTACAACACCCTTACCATCCATGTCTGTGACTGCGTGACAGTGGAGCACACAGACCTGCCAGTACCAGCAGCTTATGCTTTCCATGGGATTCAAGACAGAAGTCATCATTGCTATTCTCATTTGCATTACGGTAATATTTGGTAGGTAGAAGTCATCATTGCTATTCTCATTTGCATTACGGTAATATTTGGTAGGTAGAAGTCATCATTGCTATTCTCATTTGCATTACGGTAATATTTGGTAGGTAGAAGTCATCATTCCTATTCTCATTTGCATTACGGTAATATTTGGTAGGTAGAAGTAATCATTCTTATTCTCATTTGCATTACAGTAATATTTGGTAGGTACTGCTGAACTGAACATATACTCATTTATTTAAAATAAATGGATAAATACATAAAACAGTTAATTCTATTATAGCATTATAATGTGGGTTTGTGTGTATGTTTATTGCTCCTCTGAATGTAGTATAATTCTTAAATCAAGTGGAGTAAATAAGTGGATAAATATGTGATCTTTGAATTGTATGAGTATGTGAGTGTGTATGTACACATCTGTTTATGCATGGTCTTGACACATATACAATGTAACAATATAAAATATGTAAAAGTTAGTGATAACAACAGTGAGCTTCTCTTGAGTGCTTATTGTACTCCAGGAGACAGTCTTCATTGTTTTATATGCACGTTGCAATTCGAACCTCACAATAACCTTATTAAGCAGTAACTAATATCACTTACATTTTATAGATGAAGGAATAGAAATTCCAAAAGCTATGTGCTTTATGAAGGGTCACACAGCTAGAATATGATGTGCTAAGATTCCGTGACCACAATACACTGTTATGCAATGCTGTACTGCTGCTGACTAGAGCCCAAGGTGCATTTAAAAAAAAAAAAAAAAGGACAGTAAAATCTACTCTCTTAGCAATTTTCGAGTATAAAATACCTTATTATTAACTATAGTTACCATGCTGTAAAATAGATCTCTCGAATTTATTCCTAACATCTAACTGAAACTTTGTGTCTTTTGACCAACGTCTCTTCATTCTCTCACCCGCTCTCCTGCTACTACCATTCTACTCTCTACTTATATAAGCTATTTATTTATTTATTTTTTTAGATTTGTCAAAGTGACATCATGCAGCATTTGTCTTTCTGTGCCTGGCTTCTTTCACTTAGTATAGTGTTATCTATTTTTATCTACGTTGTTGTAAATGACAGAACTTCTTTCTTGTTTAAAGCTAAATAGCATTCACTGTGTTTATATACCACATTTTCTTATCCATTAATTCACTGATGGACACTCAGCTTCCATCAATTCCATAGCTTGGCTATCATAAATAATGCTGTAATGAACACGGAAGTGTGGATATCTCTTCAACATACCAATTTTATTTGTAAGTATTTAAGGTGATGAATATATTAAATTGATTTAATCATTCCACAATGTATACACATATCAGACATCACATTGTGTACCATAAATATATGTTTTTATTTGTCAATTAAAACTAAAAATAATCCAAAAGTCTTTTTGTGAATAAAAAGGACAGTAAATGTTAGAATGAGGAATGTATAAGAGAGTGTCTTTTTAAATCCAAGTACAGAAAAGAAAGAAATCCCAGTAAAAGAGCTCTATTAGTTTTTGTTTGCTTGTTGTTTCCCATTGCTGTCACTGTTTCTATAAGCAGATAATTTATATTCATTTCACAGATGAGACAGCTGAACCCCAAAAGTTCTTAATCAGGCTTTCAGGACTATAAAATATTCATCTAGCATAACCTTTTCCTTTTTTCAATGCCAAAATATACAATCTAAACTCTGCTCTTGCCTCCCTCAAAACTTCAAACCAAAAGCCAATGAAACTACACTGAATAGTGAGAGCAAATATATCAGACATTTTCTGAAATGCCAAACTGACCACTCAAACTGGCATGGGATACGTTTCAGGACCTGCCTTGTCTTTGCTGAACTTATTTTCTCAAGGCTTCAAAACCCATTCATTCCTCATTTACCACCTACCATTACCATTGTTTAGGACCTAGCTTCAGTTTTAAAATTGTTTTTAATGATCTTTGATTATGAAGCTGAATTCATAGCTGCACAGCTAGATCCAGAAGCAAAAATAAATAGTAAACACATAGTTTGAGGGGACTGCAAATACTGAGCTACCTATAGATACACACTTAAACCAAGCCCCGAAAACCTACAAACAAACAAGGGGCAGCTCCATAGTTACAAATGTGAGTAAAATTCAGCACGTGGGAGCTATGGGTCAACTATTATCATAGTGATTTCCTTTGAATGTTTTATAAATGTTTATCTCTAATTCAGGTCGGAAAAGTGTTTATTAGACTCCTTTCTATTTCAACCATATATATCACGTGAGTTCTAAAGTACAATACCTGAATGCAAATGTGGTGACCTTATTTATTTTAGATATTTTAAATGCAAGTTTTATATAAATACTATATAACAACCATATTTCTCTTTGTGATACTATTCATAACCTGACTTCATGTGTGTTTCAAATCCTACATGTAAAATTCTGAACAATCCTAGGTGGGGTCTTAGTTATCCTTGATACCCACACACAAAGACACACACACACACAAAGACACACACACACAAAGACACACACACACACAAAGACACACACACACATTTTAATTTAAAATTACAGCAAAAGTGTTCTGATTTTTTTCTGTTTCTACAAGATGTTAAAATTATCTTATGGAATAAATAATAATTATAGACAAACGTGTTATGATTCAAATGCATGATAGTTTAGAATTTCTGAAATTTATGTGGTATCACAGAGCACAGGCTCTGACCCAACTTTCTACTTTTGTCTTTCTTTATTTTATTGTATTTATAATTGATACAAATTGGCCATATCTATGGGGTACAGTGTGTTGTTTCAATACCTGTATATATTGCATAATGCTCAAGTCAGCATAATTAGCATATTTGTCACTTGAAACATTTAGCCTTTCTTTGTGATGATAACATCCAAATTTATCTCTTCTACCTATTTTGAAATAAATTATTAGCTACAGACACTCTACGGTATAATAGAACACCAGAACTTATTCCTCCTGTCCCACTGTAACTTTGTACCAATTGAGTAACCTCTCTTCATCCCCACTCCCTTGACTACTCTACAAGTCTTGGTACCTACCATTGTATTCTCTACTTCTATGAAATCAACTTTTTTAGATTTCACGTATAAGTGAGATCAAGCAGTGCTTTTCTTTCTGTGCCTAGCTTATTTTACTTAACATGATGTCTGGCAGGTTCATCTATGTTGCTGTAAATGACTTCACTGTTGGTGGCTGAACAGTATCCCATTGTGTCTCTCAACTAGCCGTGTCATTCTAGCGATGTCATTTAACATCTGTGTGCTTCAGTTTTCTTATCTATAATAGGATATAATAATATAATGGCTTTCACAAGAATAAAATCAATAAATAAATATAAAGCTTTTAGAAGAACACCTGATGTATGCTTCATAGTCAATATATATTAATTTAGAAAATAATTATGCCACAGAATTTTGCTTCAGTAAGGAATATCAAACTGTTCTGTTGTTCTGAACTACTATTAATATGAAGCATTGGCTACTAAAGTTGACAAATGCATTCAGGTTGCAAACTTTTATCATTCTACTTTATTCTATTTTAATATTTGAGAAAAAATAGATTTTGAATGTTAAATTGTTCATCATCTAAAATAGTTCACTATATTTTTATGGTTTTCTTTGTCTCTAAGTCATCAGCCAGAAAAATCGTGATACATTCTTTTGTAATTTGCAAGTCCCTTTGGCAAATTTTCAATAACAAATGTATCTTTTTGTCTCATAAAGTTTAAGCACTCATCTTGAGCTTGAAATGAGAGCAAAGACTGTAATGTTTATAATATTCTTTATTGTTTATTGATATTCCGATATGCTTTCCTCATCAGGGTTTATTTTTTTGACTTTGGGTTTAAAACAACGGAGAAAACAGATTCTATTTCCTGAGAAAAGTGAAGATTTCAGAGAGAATATATTCCGATATGATGATGAAGGGGGTGGAGAAGAAGATACAGAGGCCTTTGACGTGGCAGCGCTGAGGAGTAGCACCATAATGCGGGAACGCAAGACTCGGAAAAGCACCAGCGCTGAGATCAGGAGCCTGTACAGGCAGTCTTTGCAAGTTGGCCCCGACAGTGCCATATTCAGGAAGTTCATCCTGGAAAAGCTCGAAGAAGCTGATACTGATCCGTGTGCCCCTCCTTTTGATTCCCTCCAGACCTACGCTTTTGAGGGAACAGGGTCATTAGCTGGATCCCTGAGCTCCTTAGAATCAGCTGTCTCTGATCAGGATGAAAGCTATGATTACCTTAACGAGTTGGGACCTCGCTTTAAAAGATTAGCATGCATGTTTGGTTCTGCAGTGCAGTCAAATAATTAGGGCTTCTTACCATCAACATTTTTGAAAGTACTAATGTATATTTGAACCAAAGGGTAGTCTTAAAGAGTTTTGTGCCCTGGCTCTATGGCAGGGAAAGCCCTAGTCTATAGAGTTTTCTGATTTCCCTGGAGTAAATACCCCATGGTTATTTTAAGCTACCTACATGCTGTCATTGAAAAGACATGTGGGGAGAAACGTAAACAATCAACTCACAGGCATCAATACAACCAGATACGAAGTAAAATAATTTAGGAAGATATTACGAGTAGATGAGAGGACATAAGATGTAGTCAATCCTTGTGCAATTATGTCATTATTTACTTAGGAAAGAGTAAAAATACCAAACAAGAGAAAATTTAAAGGAGCCAAAATTTGAAAGTCAAATAGAAATGTACAAATCGAGAGAACATTTACATTTCTATCATATTGACATGAAAATTGAAAGTGTATAGTCAGAGAAATTCTCATGAATTATTCCATGAAGTATTGTTTCCTTTATTTGAAAAAGAATGCTAGGTAATCTTGGTAGAAAACTAAAAGGTATGATATACAACAGATGGAGGAATCCATGAAAAATAGACGAGAAAAAGTAAATAAGGTTTTCTGGGGTTCACAGAGATTTTGTATGAATAAAAGCCTTATAAAGCCAGCTCTAGCATATGACTAAAATATTCCTCTACTATTTTTCAATGTCATCTAATGCAAATGCTCAAATTTTTTAGATGGTTCATGTGAGAAAGGCACTGAATTAAGATATTTTAGTGTTATTTTATTTACCCAATTTTCATCTTTCACAGAGTAAGAATAAAATGTTTATGTGGTTAAGTTCCTGATCCTATACAGAGATAGACTTTAAAATTTTAACACCTAGGATAATGTGGGTGATTACATAAATGTTTAAAACATTTACCTTATATGGAAAGCAGATTTCTGAGTAAGATACCATGATTCATTCTAGTTTGATATTTTAAAACCTTTGCCAAGAGCACTCTTTAAAACTGATTTCAAATTTGAACAGATACTTGGTATATATTAATCAGAGTTATATAGTATAAATTTGTATTATTTTTGATATTACAACCTTGTATTAAAAAGGAAAATATATTTAGGAGTTTGTCATATATTTTTTCATACGCAACCCAAAACACATTCTTATGTCAAAATGCAATAGCAAAATATAAGTCAATATTTACTCATAATTAAATGAAAACTTTATGAAACTGGTGGAAAGTGTGGAAAATTTTAAGTAAATTTTTATCTCTACTAAAAATTATGTAGACAACTTAAAGAAATACTGGATTCAAACTTTAGTTACTATTCACTCTAAATATTATGATCAACTGAACTGACTGTTATCATTCATGGAATAAAGCATGATACAATTCTCAATATTTCCTTTTCTGTTAAGACCTTGGAATATGACTGATGCTTCAGTGTCATTTTTTTATTACTGAATATAAAATTAGGTGCAATAGTTACATTTATTATAGCCTTAAGAAGGAAATCAATGCTAAGCTGTTGGGCATAAAGCTTTATGGTAAACATTAGATAACAAGATAATAAAACACTTTAATTTTAATCTACCTTTTAAGAATGATCTTTATTATTCTATCCAAATCAAGGCAGATTTCAAAATTTATAGCTTGAACAGGAAGAAAGTAGTGAATACAAAATTCTTAAAATTGGTTCATATGATCATTTTTTATTAATAGCATGTGAGGCTAAGCTGAACCAAATTGGCCATAAGTGTTAAATCAAATAATTTGAGTAATTTTGAACTATTGGTGGAGTAGTTAAATGGTTATAATATATTTTCTTGGTACTTTGAAATTTAAACATTTAATGTCACATAATAAAGAAAGTTTTTCATAAATCTGAAATAGGCACCATTAAGTTGGTGAGAAAAATATTATCATTTCACAAAAGCTTGAGAAAACCAGATTTGAAGTAAAATAATTTAGGAAGATATTACAAGTATATGAGAGGATATAAGATTTAGTCAATCCTTACGCAATGATACCATTATTTACTTAGGAAAGAGTGAAAATACCAAACAAGAGAAAATTTAAAGGAGCCAAAATTTGAAAGTCAAATAGAAATGTACAAATCGAGAGAACATTTACATTTCTATCATATTGACATGAAAATTGAAAGTGTATAGTCAGAAATTTTCATGAATTATTCCATGAAGTATTGTTTCCTTTATTTAAAAAAGAATGCTAGGTAATCTTGGTAGAAAACTAAAAGGTATGATAAACAACAGATGGAGGAATCCATGAAAAATAGATGAGAAAAAGTAAATAAGGTTTTCTGGGGATCACAGAAATTTTGTATGAATAAAAGCCTTATCAACAATGAATACATTTGGATAAACAACTCATTAAAATGCACATTAATGGATTTCCTGTACAAATGGTTTCAATACTTGTGTCCAGTGGCACTAAAAAGATATATTAAAATAGATCCTGGTTGAGTTGATGATAAGATTATCATCAATCATAGGATACACAGGAAAAGCACAAACATGATTGCACATCTGTTTGGTAGTCTAAAATATGTTCCTTTTAACCACATCAAAAGATACTATCTGATTCTAATAGGGAAGTTGCAACTTCCTAGAAATTATACTTTGTATTATTTTCAGTAATTATTTTATGTTTTTGCATCACATGGGTGTTGCAAGAACACAGCTCATAAGCTAAAGGCATTATATTAAGAATTTATTTTTGTAAATTTTAATAAAGTCTAAATTAATGCAAAATATTTATGAAAATAGCACAGCTTCACATTACTACCCACAGTACTTAAATATCTCCCTCAGTTGACTCACAGCTTTGTATGTAAGCTTTAAATTGTTAATGGTAGAAATAAGAAAATTAAGACTAGTGAACTACTAGTTGTTCACTCAGTGCATGTGCTTGAGCCTAACAGACCTTGTTTAGTTGCTTTCAATTAAAGGAATGTATGATATTTGTTAAACTGCTTCATCTTTCTAGACCTCACTTTGTAATCTATAAGATGAGGTCCAATCAACCTATTTTGCATGGTTGTTATGAAGAATTAATAATAAGATATGCAAAACCAGCAGCACCAATAGTGCCTGACAAAATATAACTGCTCAATAAAAAACAGTGAATTATTATAATAACAGCTGATGTTATTCTGTTGGAACACATGGTCTGTTTCTTTTCCAACTCTGAGTGATCTCAACAGCTTCACGGCACATTGAAAATAAAAATCAACTTCCTCACCTTCCCCATAGGCCATGGACTTTCCCACCCCTACTTACTTCTGCAATTTCTCCTCTTTCCTCTCTCCACCTCAGTTACTAAAGCAATCTTCCTTCAAACACTTCTAGTTTCCATTACCGCACTTCATGCAGGTCGGTGATCAGCTGCAACTTCCTGAGAAAGACCACTGCCACTTCCGGTGACCCTGGCTTTGTCTTGCTTTGTATTAAATTACTCAGCTACCTGGTATTAGTGTTGTCTTTACTGCTTATTAGAATGTAACCCTGAATGGGCAAGAAATTGTCAGGCTTGTTCATTTATCATTGTGTAAGAAAGTTTCCAGCACGTAGAAAGTGAACAATAAATATTTCTGGAATGAATGTAGTAATGAATCCAATCTATTTAGTCACTTGTAGAAATTCTTTTGGTTTCCATTCACTATTTTTATAGAATATTAATATGGAATTAATGTATTATTTTCCAAAATGGGTTAGTACTGAGTAGTTACTGGATACAGTAAAATTTTTCAAAATCTTTCTAAAAATTACATAACTTTGGCATTTATCTTGCTTGAACTCACTGATATATCTGGAGGAAAAAATAGTTGATGAAGTTATACTGTTCAGTCAAAACAGGTTATTTAATGATGACCATAGAAAATCTCATATTAATAAATTTTCACAAAGTGTAAGAAATATGAAATCATGTGCCATGCATAAGAATCCTACTCCACATTTTAAAGTACAACTTGGTAACAGATACATAACAGAGTGCTCAGGGCTACTCATAACCTACCAAGTGGCTTCAATATTTTTTATAGTCTGTGGTATGTGATAGCAAAAGACAGACAGGGAGACTAAGTAGACAGATAAATGGAGGAAAGGAATATGTGACTTTTTACATATTCATATCTGTCTGTCTATACGGAAATTGTGATTTCCTGAAAGAAGAGAGACCAGCATCTCAATCGCAAGTAGTTCCTTGAGACCTATTAGAAATTTTTGCTGTCCTTTTTTCCTAAAGAGCTCTGTAGATGACTGGCCGATCCATCTGAAATAGCAGGAACGGGAGAGGGTAGTAACTGGGAAGTGCTATTCGTAGCCTTTGACAGGGTGAAGCTGAATGAGTTTTCCATAGCTTAAGGGACTGCAGTTGTAGAAATTTTGCACAGATGGAGGTGAGAGGGAGCTTAAGATAGTCATCCAAAAAATACATTACACGGGTCAAGGAACAGTAGAGATCTGACATCCTTGAGATATGTCTCTGAATTGTCCATGCATGTGCCCCATGATAGAAGACCAGCCTTCAGATGCCTGCGGTCACAGAGGTCACTGGCTGTGAGGTTAGGATGGCACCAACATGTTTACTGTGCCCCCTTTTCCTCATCTCTTCCTTCCTACCCAGACTTCAGAGGATCAGAAGCAACAGAGGTCTGCTCCTCTGGGAGAGGATAGGAGATAGATCTTATACTGGATGTGAGGTTAAGGTCTTCTAGTAAATAGCATAGATTTTAGAAGACATTTGAAAGTGACAAGAAGCTGTGGAAACTGTCTGATATTTGGCCAAGGTGGGCATCGGAAAAAATGTCTCAAACTGAATAAAAGAATTAATTTTCATGATAATTCCCACCAAATTACATAATAATAGGCTAGAAACATAATAAATCAATTTGGCATTTCATGTAGTTTAAATAATAATATGAAATTCACTTTTTAAATATAAACCATAAGCTAACTATACAAAGAAAATATAATTTATAGTGTCCTTACGACATCTGAGAGCATATTTAAAAAGTTTACACAGCTTTATGTCAAGCAGTTCCTTTGTATTTATTCATTTTAGTATTTAAAATATACATTCTGTTGACTTCCACAGTCCTAAGTGATTTATCTCAGCTACAAATAAGGTTTGGCATGAAAACTACAATGTTTTTATGATTATATAGAGATAGACATCAACACCATGTTTTACCTATAAAAGGGAGAGAAGTCGATGGATAGTATTCACATGTGGTAATGTTAAACATTTCCATAATATTACCTAGTTGGTATGCTAGTTAAAGTAAGTGGTCTATGAAGTTCATTTTAATTAACTTTTTGTTGCTAACATTCTTTACCTTGTAACCTTGAGTAAGTTATTTAGAATCTTTTCTCTTGATACCTTCATCTGTACAATGGAAGTATTAAGAATACATAAGTCATAGGATTGTTGTGGGAACTAACTGAAATAATATTAAAGAATGAAGAACATTTCCAAATGTATAGCAAACACTTGACATTTTTACCAGTTGTTATTATTGTCAAAATAAGAATCATTATATTATTAATTTTACCTTTAGGAAGGTTTATAGACCTATCTGTTTTACTTAAGTATGAAAATTAATATGGAGAAGAAGAAAGAAGAATCTGAATTAAATCAGAGCAATAGTTATCTTCCTGTTACTTACTGCCTCCTCACCCTGACCCTCCCAGGATAGTTTTCTAATACCAAAGGAAGAAATTAATTGCTTAACTTATGCATTATGTATGAGGCACTCTGATGAAAATTAATCATTCTCCGGCATTTATTTTGGGGAAAAAAATGCTGGAAAGTTAAGTAGTAACCAACTTTGTTTGTGGCAGTGTTCCCTAGGTATAGGTATTTCAGGAGAAATCCTGTTGAAAAAGAGGGGTTCATTTATCTCATTTTATAAGTAATAGAGAAAAAATATGTATTCCCATATTATTTTAGAACTACATAGAAGAAAAAAAGAAACATACTAATAGCACTAACAGATAGCTTTTCAAACATACTGTTAATATCTAAGATCTGATGACCATAGTTGTAATTTTATACTAAGAAGTAAAAATTAAATTACAAGCAGATTGTCACCTCTGAAAATACAAGATGAAAAGCTGCACCCGTGACATCCCTATCTGCTTTCCCCTGTCCTCGTGCTTTTTAAAAATAAAAATTAAGGTTACATTCCCATATGTTCTCTGATGAGTACGTTTTTATCATCTACCCTTTGCATATCTGAGCCAGTCTTAGGTCTCAGGCAAGTTGTAGGCAATTGTCCAGCTAAAACAGACAGCTCAGTTTTCAGAAACATTTTCCTTATCCCAGATGACCTCTATGTTATTCTGGAAGCTTCCTTGGTAGAACTGATTATCTACTTTCAACTCTATATAAAACATATGTATTAACACTTGACATACTCAATTGATATAGAGAGAATTTCACCAATAATTGTGAAATATTTTAAGTTTTACTAATTGTAAAAATAAAATTAAAGGTTGATATATCATACAGTATATATATATATTCATAGTATGTTTATTCATTATTAAGTTAATTTGTCCCATTAATACAGTTTTCAACAGCAAAAATCTCTTTTTTATAACATATTATCTACACCCATGCTTGTTACTTTATTTACTTTTTTGCACGAAGACCAGAAAAGGAAATTTGTACAAAAGGACGTATTAGGAAAATGTGTGAACTGAGAAAATTCTAAGTTTTTCTCATGCTTGTGTTGTCAACCCAAATATTAAGTAAATAACAAGGCGCAGACTTTATTTGCTAGCAGCATCTACTATACTAGTAGCATCTACTGAGTCTCTCTAATATGAGTACTATGTAATAAACCCCAAATAAAATCTTAAATTAATAATCTGTGTCCCAGCTGACAAAGTAATGATGAGAAACATTTGGAGGTGGAGTCAGAAAATGGTGCCAGAGCGAGAGGTCAGTGCTCAGATGAGACTGGGTGCTGAGCTCAGCTCCCATTCACATGTTGCAAAGGTATAGCTGCTATTAACTGGTCCTCTTGGAGTTGCACTGCAACTCAAAAAGAAGAAAACGTTCATAATACGAGGACTTTTGTTTTTTCAGTTTTTAATTAATATACCAAACAAATCTATTATAAATCTCTCTCTCTCTCTCTCTCTCGTCTTATTCTAAGTATTTTTAAGGTACTATTTCATTTAATCAGGTGGGTATGGTTATTACTCCCAAGATACTGATAAGGAAACCAACACACAGAGAGTCTTTGTTTTGTGCCGGAGGTCGTACACCTAACAGTGGCAGAGTTGAAGCTTAAATCCAGGCCAATAAGTTCTAGATTCCAGGCTTTTGTCCATTACAGCATACTGGCTGCCTGTCCATTTACAGCATACTGGCTGTCCATTTACAGCACACTGGCTGGCTGTCCATTTACAGCACACTGGCTGGCTGTCCATTTACAGCACACTGGCTGTCCATTTACAGCATACTGGCTGCCTGTCCATTTACAGCATACTGGCTGTCCATTTACAGCACACTGGCTGTCCTGCCCTTGACACATGGAGATTATGGGGATTACAGCTCAAGATGAGATTTTGGGTGGGGACACAGTGAAACTAACGATTGTCATGACTCAAAATTAACATGCCGAAAAGCATGTCAATCACTCACTTTTAAAAGAGTAAGTATGGTTACAACCTATCAGACTTAGATGTTGATTTTCTTAAATTCATAGTTTTTAGAAAAGATTTGCACATGCAATCTTTTCTATATACAAGCAATAAATCATGACTCGTTCTCAGAATCATTGAACAAAATATTTTTTTTAGTATGTCTTCTAAAGCAGTCCTTTTGAAGCCTAAATAAAACAGTTCTCCCAGAAGTAAGCTGGTCTTACTACTTTAGAAAAACTGTAATACACTATGTATGTCATTATATAAGGAATATATGTATATATATGAATAAACCATATATATATTTTTTTATTTATAAAACTTAAATCCAGGCAAACAAGTTCTAGATTCCAGGTTTTTGTCCATTACAGCATAATGACTGTCCATTTGCACCACCTCATTCAGTTAGTAACATAGGGGCTTTTATTACATATGGTTGCTGATGATTTTTTTTCCATTACTTTAGATGTTAATACTGTATAAATATTATATGTTCACATAGATGAATTAAGGAGGTGAATGGCATTCTTTTTACAAAAATAAATCCATCTGTCCATTTTTTATGTCACTACCAAGTCTGGGTTTCTATTATTAGGTTATATGTCATATATTGTATTTATTATTATATGTTATTTATCATTGATGCCAATCAACCACAGAACTAACACACTCAGAATATCCAAAGGTAGAGAAAAAAATTGTGTGTATATCTATATACACATTTTTTTTTTTCTGTAAGTATGAGCAGTACAGATTTCTAAACTAGGTAGGGGAAGGTGTTAGCCTGTTTAGGCTGCTATAACAAAATGCCATAAACTGGGTAGCTTTTAAACAACAGACATTTATTTCTCACAGCCTGGAGGTTGGGAATTTCAAGATCAAGGTACTGGCAGATTCAATATCTGGTGAGGTCCCACTTCCTGGCTCATGGATGGTACTTTCTAGCTATGTTCTCACATGGTAAAAGGAGCAAAGCAGCTCTCTTGGGCCTGTTTTCTAACGGAACTAATCCCATTCATGAGAACTTCACCTTTGTGAACAA